TACCGCCCACTCCATTCAATTTGTTCCTGACTCGTTGAAAGAATAGTTTTTGTGTTTGGTTGAAATTTGATACATTTGTCGACAATCTTGATCCAAGCTGGCTCCAGTCTACATTTTCTTCTTCCCGCTCGACCTCTAGGTAATGGAGCGTCCGACGTTGTCGGCGCGTTATCGTTAGGCCCGCAGATTCGAGTGATCCACCCATCCCTTTGAGCATTGATTCGAGGCGGAAGATTGCTAAAACCTTGCGCTCCTTATTGTTTAATTGCCGGCTGTGTCTTTTCTTCATGTTCACGCGGCTGCAGTCATCCGTAAAACCAAGATAATGTGATCTGAATAAGCTCAAAGGGTCGGATGGTGGTGAATGTATACATATCATCGCAAACATCTGGGAGAGCTGAAATCCACTTCTGACAGCGGACGCTTCGTGTAATGCCTCATTGTATAGATAATCATTGACGAGTAAGCCTAATGCATTGCACGCATCTTGGTACGACTTGCACTCCTTGCCGTTGATGGTCTTCAAGTCACTAAATGAACAAAACCCTTTTCGGTGGAGAAGGAGAACTCGTAGGTAGAATTTTTCCCCAGCGAGATAAGAAATCGAGAAAACTCTCCCAACACTCAAGGCTTTTTTCTTCCTTGGAGTCCAGATTTTCTCTCCTTTATTCCACGCGAAATAAGCCGGAATGTCCTCGTAGAAAATGTTCCTAGCATGGACACCATCAGCTCCCACTGCATCAGCAGCATTCAACTTGAAAAAACCGGTGAGTGTCGTTTGACCGGCTTTCCCACTGTTGATTTGACCGGCCAAACTATCCTCTCCTTCGAAGTAGACGAGTTGTTCGTCTTCATCGTGCACTGCAAGTCGCGCCACTGGTGGGAACCTGTCCGACAGTGGATACTTAAACAGACGCCACGCAGCTGTATTCATGCTTCAGCAACAGCCCTCTCGCTAGATAGGAGATAGCTTACCTTCAACTGCACTTATATACCGCCCATCGACAAAACACTTGACTTCATCCTGGGAATCAGAGGATAAAGCCATCCTATCATGTCCTTTCGTGATATACTTATAAAGATATTTGATAGCCGTTGTGTTGACCGGGACTTCAACGTTTATGTGGCACTGGAAGTTGAGTGTCAAGTATGGGTTGTATGGAACAACTGAACCGTTATTGAACACCGACGCTTGTTTCTGCACTCGTACCCCATCATCTCGCCGTTTGTACACCGGGTATGCTCCATCAACATTGACGGTTCGTTCAGCAAACGGTTTAGGAAACCCAAGCTTGCAAGACTTCCCATTCCAACATGGCCGACCTTTGCAAGGCCCATGAAGCATGAACTCGGAGACGAGACCATGAAGCTTTGGTGATTTCTTGATGTCGGGCAGCTCTGCGGAAACAATCTTGTCTATTTCTTCTGGCGTTACAGGTCTGTCATCCTCAGCGAGGGTAAGCATGAGGTGTACGTGCGGCAAACCCCTCTTCTGAAATTCGACGGTGTATACATACGCTAAGACTTTGCCGAATCTTTCCATCTTCACGAGTTGATAGATTAATTCCGTCATCTTCAAGTAAAATACTCGTGCAACAATGGTTGGATGATCGCACGCTTTTTCTCCGGCAGGAATTTCGGCTAGAATCTCGGCCCAGTTGGGATTTGCTGTCATCGTGATGAATAGCGACGGAGGTCCAAACTTCCTGCAAATAGCCATCGCGTCGTGGTATAACTGTTGCATACACCGTGGACTCCCAATGAACGATGATGGCAAAATAACACATCTTCCACCCATGGGCGACTGGTTTTCGAGTGAATTTATTAAACGTCTGTAATTTCCAGCCTTAAGCCTTCCTTGATTGTTCGTGATATACGCCAGCCTCCCACGTTCGACACAGACATACATGTCCACAAGTAGTTCTTGCAACAATGACCGACCAGCTAAAATAGGCGAGAACCTCTTCCGGCGTCTGAACAATAAGTATGCAAACCACTCAAGCGAACCCACTCGTCTATTTTTTACTGCAAAAGAATCAAAAATTAACCGAGGGGATATATTGCACGAATTTTAATGACTCTCACCACGTCCAGTCCAGGCAGCATACAAATTGTCCCACTGTTGCTGGCCATAAGGAAAGAAAATGGGATAACGAAGTGGAAAATACGAAGAATGCATATCCGAAATTTCTTCAAGACCTTCATCTTTACGGTGCAGAATAATTTGACGTTCACCAATAACTTCACCTTCGCCTTGAACGACAATGCCAACTTCATCAACGGTTGGACAGTTATAGCGCTTAGGATCAGCCCCAGCCAAAGGGACCCCTTGTAAGCCTATTGTTTGCGCTTTCGTCTTCGAAAGAACGTCTAGGGCTGTGCGGAAGCGTTTCGCATAAGGGTTAATTTCTCCCATGAGCCGAACCAACATGAGGATTGTCCCTGGTTTCATCGTTGATTTCTTCATATTGTGTCGGCTTCGTCCCAATGCGCAGGATAGTCGGTATTCAGCTTCTTCGATGCCGTTGTTGCCAACAACATATATTTGTGCAAAGCCCGGTGAGTCGTCTTTCGGTTCCAAACTTGAAATTCGATGGGATAATCCGCCTGAGATTTTGAAAATATTCAACCCCATTGGCCCCTGGACCGAATAGTCAACCTTTGCACCAAGAGATGTAAAAGAGATTGCATTGTTGTACATTCGTGTCATCTGCTGGAAGTTTACAGAATCTAGTTGAAGCATCTTATTAGTTCACGTTAATTAACATCTAAGAAATGCTCACCTTCATCATTTCCTGTTAGAAGCCCCCTCATCATTGACGGATACCTTGGCGCACCTTCATCGAAGTCCGGGAGGTGTACCTTGTTCTTCTGGCAGCAGGTTGAGTAGGATTTCTTTTTTTTAGCTTGTCAATAATAGTCGCCTCGTCATTCCAATGGAGCGCTCCACATGAGTCACATGACTGGTCACAGCGGCCAAGTCTGTGAGGGACAGAGTAATCGGATGTGTTTGAAAGGCTTGATTCGAAGTCGGGTGAAGTGCTATTTTCAATTTTTCTCTTTGAATTGATCATCTTCGCATTTGATGGAGGTTGTTATTTGGGATAGTGTTTGCCTGATTGAGTAAACCACGCTTGAGCCAGACAAGTCTCCAAGCCGGAAATCACAGCCCAAAAAGGTACCGATGGCCAATTCTTGAGCTTGTGCGGCAATTAAATTGCATGTGCACCAAATAACAGATCATGGATGGATAATTGTAGTGTAATTTTTACACGATAACAAATTATATCAGGATAGGTTGGAGCTTTATGAACACACCTCAGTAGGTCGATGATGCTATGACAGCCAAGCAAAATTAGGCAATTGTGATTGGTTCCTTAAGGACATTTGGGCTGAAGTTTCAACTGTACACTTGAAGTGAGACTCAGGGGTTATAGGAGATCACATCGAAAATCGAACAGACAAGATAGTGATTATGTAAAGTCCATTGGCGAAGCACCTTCCCATCCTTCGAGCCCATATAACATCAAACTTCTCTCATTATTCAACCTTTAACAATGGAGTTATCAGTTCGGATCACATTGAGCAAGAAAACTCTACTTACAAGTAATATTAATGTACCTGTTTCAACCTCCTCTCCAATGAACCAACCAGAGAAAACTATGTATGATCCAACCAATTCGTCATCCTTGATCATCACGTCGAGTAGATCCGTGGCAACAAATATTCGTATGTGGATACAAGATGAAAGGTCCTAAAGAGCTTAGTTAGATCAACACATCGCTTTACTACTGAAGTTTTGCTGTACTTACTGTTGGTTGGTGGCTAAGCATGACTTGTAGGTAATCTCTCCCTCCCACAGACCGAAATTCTACTTCAGCTACAGATTTGACCTTTCCCTCACCAGAAATCTGAAAACCATCAGGGTCCGAGTATAGCTTGGAACCATTAGGTGTATGCGCAAGCAGTGGGTTGAATTCCCAAGTCTTCCCACATGTGTCGTCGCGACTTATCAGACCACAAATCTTGTATACTGAACCAACGTCTAGTCCACAGCCATGCCAATCCAGACACGGTGCAACTATTGTTTCAACCACACATTTGTCCTCAAAATAGACTCGCTCTTCAATATTGTTGACCACTGGGCAGGATGGGAGGAGAATTTTGTATATACTATATGTCCCACGGTCCCAGTCCCAGGACTTTGACTGTCAAATTAAATAAGTCAGCTCACACGTGTCAAAGAGCAAAGGCAAGCCTTAACTTTACCATTTCTCCCAACGTGCACCAACCGGAAAAACTCAGTCGATCATTTGAAGCTAAGGGGATTTTCATCACAAAGGATCTGTTTTTATCGGAAGCGCTTCGGTCGACTGTAATGGGGTTGAGCATTTATGGTATCTGCTGACTCGAGAAATGATTTCTCGCTTGATGAAAGATGACAAGGGATGAAGGGAAACTGGGGGTTGTAGTTTTGTCCTGAATGGGCGAAAGGCGACGCTTAAAAACAAATTAGAATGCCTTTGGATTTGCCTGGTCAGGTTCAAGGCCTTAACAAAGTCAATTGTGACTTGTACCTACCCCTACGGCGTGATGTTTCTCAATGCCACGGTCACCAATACCTTCCACACTGGCTAGCCTTAGACGAATTTGATTATACTACTTACCTATCCAACAACTAATCACGTGGATTATGAGTCCAGTTAAGGGACTGGCAACGACTCATAATCTTGCAAACGGCAATCCGTCAATGTATGTATATACAGGGTGACCACACTGTTTGATCTTTTTCGAAGATGACAATACATTTGTGAGGCCTTGGCAATAACAATTATGCCGATTTTTCAATTAGATTGACAATTAGCATAATGACAAGCGAATATTCGGTGAGGACCCTGACATCACTTATCATCGGAATAGCTTTTCTTTATAATGCAATGAAAGTTGAAGAAGTGTGATTGCCGTTCTTGAAGATAGTATTTGACCAACGGACCTTCAACTCATCTTTCACCTTTGACATAAGTTGCATGATCGCCAATGTAACACATGTCGCGAGGCTTGTCTCTGAAAGCACGTCGGTTGAAAATTGCACCGCTGTGAGTGTCTCGGGAAGCTGTGGCCGTCTTCTTGTTGATCTGTAGTGACATTCCAAGTTGGTCGAACATTTCATCATTTGTCGAGAACAGAGTACAATGCCGGACCTCTTTTGATCTCCACACCAGCTTGACGAAGCCATTGTGCTTAGAAAAATCGATTCCAACTCGATAATCGGGAAATACAAATTGACCACCACTTAATCTCGATGGACTGGTCACGCCACCAATTGAGAAATCCGTCCGGTTAACTGGAATGAACATGCCAAATGCGAATTCTGAAAGATCGTCTGGGTCACAGTGTGGCGGATTGAAGAATCGATTGGTGGTGAACGTGAGGTTGGGGGCACAATCATCATCATTGATTGGCTTTCCAAAGGATAGGTGGCCAATTGAAGGAATGCCGAATTCTTTCATCACCTCTTGATTATCGGCAAACGCTACATTGGCTAGTCGTTTGAAGATTCGACCCAGCATGCCAGAGATCTTGGGAGACTGTCGCATCAGATTATCGTAAATGTCCGGGGCATTTGCAATGGCAGCTTTGTTCCTATAGCGGCCGAATAATTGAAATGCAACCATTGCCTTTCTCCATCCAATTCCAAACATACTTCCTCCCCAAGACCTTCCTTCAGAGTCGACAGGATTGACAAATCGCTTTGCAGTATGGAGGAATCGTGTTAGTTGACCAATATCCTCGACTTCGCCAGACGTTATGTCGTCCCAACGAGTGAACTCTGCTATGGCGATAATTTTCGATTCATCGTCTTTATCGTGGATAACAACTTTTCCATGGTGGAAATACTTAAACTGAGCTGCTTTCGTGTTACAATAATCAATCTCCGCTCGAGTCGGTGGACGGTCCGGCTCATTGCCAAGCATGTGTGGATAGAGTTCGAGGGGAATGTATCGTTTGGAGCACCATATTATGGAGTCTTTATGGTGATGGGAGTTGCTTGAAGTGGTGATGTTCTGCTTAGCATTATCATCATCGACCTCCAGATTGGGCATTGGACCGCTCGCCTGATTCCGAGAGGTCCGATCTGTATCGTCAACGGTCAGGGACAATTCACTTGTTCGCTTATCGGCGTGTCTTCTGGAACGGTTTTTTCTTTTCCTTTCGGCCAAGTAAGCTTTCCGGATATTTGTCATAATGTCAAGGCGCGAATAGTATCCTACTATCACACTCAAGACAAAACTCCAATTACCGATCACTGGCAAATGTTGGAATGAGGTGAAACCTGATGGAGTTTTCATGAAAGGTTCAAGCAATTTGCGGTGCATGAAGCAGTTAGCGGTGAGAAAAAAAAAGATAAGGCAATTGCAAAAAGATGTATCAGAGAAATGAGTTTTTTAAGTCGGAATGAACTAACAATAAGCTGAACTTTCGCTTCAAATTGAAGGTTATCCGGCCTGGTCTCGACAAAACTCTTGTAAAGTTATCAGAGTTCGACGTTCCGAAGTTGTTGATGGTCTCGTCTAAGGGGTAAAATAAAGCTCAACGATGAGGTGGATGAGCTTAGGCTTGAGGTTGAGGTCAACACATGCACAGCACGATGGTCAGATTCGATTAAACTATTTCAGCTCTACGTTCGAATCCCGTTCTCCTTCAAGAACCCGTGAGATTGGTATCGCTGAGACTCGTCTTGAGGACCGATGAATTGAAACCCTCGAAGTAATAATCGGTGAAAGTACGCTTGACTATATCTGGATGATCCGATCTTGTCTTCCCTGAGAATCGTTTAGATTGGATCTGATCTGAAAGTCATAAGAGGCGATTGATAAGTCATCCGTAGACAATTTGTCTTGAGGGAGATATGAGAAAAATGGCGGGGCTTTACCTAAGCATGTGACTTTTCAAAGATGAGTCGTTTTAGGCCCGTGCCTAGCGCGACGATCAACCACGGGATTGTGAGAGCGATTCAGCCGGCGGGACTGAGCAGGAAATTGAGGAAAGGGTCGTTTGTTTAGGCAAGATGAATGTGGACTTGGCGAAGTTTTTATTAATCAGCTTCCAGATGGATCCGCCCCAATTACACGACTTACGTTCGACATCAAGAAGAATGGAGTCATGGTCAAGTCGATTCGATATGGCAGTTGTGACCATCAAGTTCAAAAACCGCGTGATCGATCACCGTGTATAATTAACCAAGATGTGCCAAATATTTCAGAAAGAAGGGCTAAGATAATGTTCAGTGGGATAATGAGTGCTAACCTATGTTGTTATGTTGCGTCGGGTTTTTCTCTGCTCGCGCTTTCTAGAAGTAGTGAGGTCAAGCTGATTGCGCTGCCCGAAGGTTTAACGAGTTGAGGGGTGCCATGAATTGTGGGCCGAATACATCAGCCCCTGGGGGAAAATTAATCGAATATATGCAAATTGGCTGCTGCAGCGTTTTAAGATCCGTTGCGACACCATGCTAGGGACACGCATCTGCTGTTAAAAACGAAACCGTCTTTCCTCGCCTCCATCACAGACCCCAACCCATATCGTGACCGTAAGCATCGGTGGAATTCATAGTCTTAGTACAGTCTACAATTTGGCTCATTAATCTATCGCCTTCTTTGGAAATTAGGCCCTCGGACCTTCGATTCGCCGATTAGCGATTTCGTGGACGTCAAACTTGTAGATAAGCTTGGATGGTTGCCCAATTCTTATGGCGTTCTTTTACCAATCCTCCCACAAACGAATTGTTCTGATTATTCCGGGTGTCGTCAGTCAAGCGTCAACAATGTCTTCTGATATCATGTTTTGGAAAAGTACGACATGTTAACTCTAACAACCGGCCATTTTGATTCCACAACTCAAGAAAACTTTTCATATCTCAAATCGTCAAGGATCAGTACGGGAGAACAGCACCTTAACATCCAAGAAATAAACAATAAAAACATACCGACAGGACAACCCAGACAGTTGACGATGTCTCAAACGATCACATCAAGGTCATCACAAACGGGAAGGTTTTCCCACCACACATCTCATCCAAGGCTACAACTGCGCCGGGTTGTCTAATGAATCAGATGGGGTATAACTCGGCCTCGATCTTGCTCGGCTTAACTCCCTCGCTCTGGAAGTGCCGTAGGGCTCTGTGGCAACGCCAAATCCGACTTGAGTCCTTCGGATATCCTCGCCCTCTTGTTGAGTCTATATTCATACTTACGACCACCCTGTGAAAATTCATTTAATCCTACGCGACCGAATCCATATATCCTAAACCTAAGTCACTTTTTCTTTTTGTTGCAAAAGTTAGCGAAGAAATGATCAAGTCCATCGAAGATTTAGCGACTCCCACCCGACAAACCAATAATAATCAGTCCCAACAAACTGCTCATCAGGCTTACGTATCCGGCGCCCAAGGAGGCGTGGTTTAGACAATTTTTGGCCTGGCTTCCCGCCACTCGATCTATCACTCTCGACCTGCCAGAGCTTATCATCACCACCGCAACCGTCTATGTCCATCATTCCTACAGCCTCTTCTTGGCCTCCAAAGTCCAGGAAGTACCTACGAAGCTCGAGTTCGTTCTGCACGTGTACTTGTCCGGCGAGGGGGATGGTAGCGGACAAACAGGCCACATCAGCGATTCTCCGTACGTAACGTCAACCACATAATATACAACATACACACACCCCATCCTCTGCTCTCCCCCCCAAAAACTCCCTGATGACCTCTCCATCAAAGTCGCATTCCAACACTACCCTAGGCTCCTTAATACACAGTGTCGAGTTCATCCACGAGTCCTACGCTCCTGCCCGGCCTTCGAAATCGTTGATTGCGGTCGGAATGGCCGATCGGGCTAAAGCCCAGTCGATCACTCAGGCCGCCTGCGGGTTCAGCACCGACTCGATGATCTCCTCACTATGCCTCGTCGGCAAACCCGAGCTCATCGCTGCCTCGGCCTTCCTCATTGCCGTCACCATCTTCTCTCCGAATCTCCCATCTCATATCCGGACTAAGATGGGAATCATCAAGAGCCACATAGCATTGAAAATGAGACGGTCGACTTCAATCGCCTCCTTAACCTCCTCTCGGGACGGGCCCGAAGAGCGTTCGATCCAAGAGCCTGTGGGAAGCAATTCCAATCGAAAGTCTGATTGAAAAACACCGTCAGCATATTCCTCTCCTTTAAGAGTTGTCTCGTCGACCCACAAAATAACGGGTTTGTTTAGCCTTTTAACAGATCTTGCCAACGCGATCATCGACCAATATACTCAATCAGTTCGCGATGACATTCGTGTCCGGACGATCAAGGTACGTTCCGACTAATTGTTATTCCGTCAAAGCAGAACAAACCAAACGTAACTGACGATTGTCTTTTTGTTCTTTTGGAAATCAAGCGTGCGCGGTTCCCAGGGCCATCCCTCCTGCGTCGGCCGGTGGAAGCGATCGAGACCCAGCCGTCTCATACAAAAACAGGCACACAAGCTGCAGACAGTGGCATGGCCCCAGGGAAATCAGACGAGCAGAGTACGCCCCCCTAGTCGGGAAGAGGTTCCCCATCGGGCCGTATCTTCGACGCGTTCTCGTGCACTGATGAGCGCCAACATGGACCTCGGCACACCAAACGAATCGACAAGTCTGTCGCCGAAAAGCGCCCGCGTGCTCTCCCTAACAGGGCCAACTGACAAGAAGTCGCCCGCCAAAAAACAGTCCAGGTCTCCTCAATCCTCGGCCCGCCCCTCTAACAATGCCAAGCTCGATCGACCCTCATTGGCCCCCTCCCAGCCCGCCCCTCAGCCTCCCTTCTACACCAATAGATATCTGGTGATCTCATAGGGCTCAACTGAGAACTTATGCTGATGGTAGAAATCTGGCGATGTTTGTTGTGATGCACGTGGAAAGGGTGAACCTATTGATTTCATTAATTGACATTGCAATAATTGAAGATACGTAACATGGGAAAGATTCCGGTAATATCCGTGTTTGATTAATCTTGTATCCCAGTGAAGTTTAGTTGCGTGTAGATGTGACATTATAATTTACGGTATCTCAGTTTGCTTGTTGTAATGACACTCAGGTTGTTATCCTTAGTTGTAGCAAAATCTGCAGGTTATCTTTGGTATGAAAAAAATGGGATGTATTGTCTGTGACGAGCAGTTGTAATGCACTTTGTTGGTATTGTCCATTATGTTGGTCTACAATTCCAAGTATAGCCTGAGAGTTTAGACTCATCTTGACAGCATTGACCAGTATCAGGGATGAGTGAGATCAACTCTGATGAACATTGTTGTTGAAGTTAAAAGATGAGGCTAAGAATAGCCAGTGCATCACTTATATATACAAAAATCATTTTTGCCAGATGTCAAATATCTGTGGAGAGTGAGGGGGCATCAAGGGGAAAAATAGAAAGGGTTGGGGGTGGTGATGGCGTTGGGGAGATACTCATTGCTTCTTCATCCGCTTGGCAGCCTCCTGAATGATATTCCTGCGGGGACGGCCACGCTTGGCCGGTGGGGTTGGGGTGACCTGTACGTCCCCTTCGCTTTCTTCATCGGATGATTCGTCGGATTCATCCTCACCATCGGTGGATGAAACGTTGGTCGCCTTACCCTTGCCCTTGGTGAGCGAGCGGGGTGTGTCATCTTCTCGAGCTTCATCTTGTCTGGGCCTCTCTCGGCGCGCTAGAAACTTTGACAATTTTGGCTTCGCGGACTCGATGGCAGAGGTGCCTGACTGGGGCGGGGGTGCCTTGGGTGAAAATTTTGTTCTTTATGAATGGATCAGTCTTTAATAATGGTCGGAGCGGGTCAGTTAATTTGACCTCAACATACAGTTTTCTGCCATGAGTGGGGGAGCTGTTCGAAGGCCCTGGACCAACTGGGTTTGCACGGCCAATTTGATGCCCCGGCGTTATTGAGACAGACAAGACCTGCAGAAATATTGTCAATTTGTTGGACCTCCATCTGATGACGCAATTGCGACGTACGATGACTATGGCAATCTGGTCTTCCATGTTGAAATCAACTAATCGACCAATTATGTTAACTTCTCGGCCGACTTGATATAAGGTGTGTGTTTTGACCAGGTTTTTTGTCCCGCAGCACCACAATATATTTTATATTAAAACGCCTGTGAACCCGTTCCTG